CAAAAATACATGTGTATATATATAAAGTTACATGCTTGCACGCATATAAATATTATATCATATATCATATATTATATATATATATGAACATATAGTTTGTTCCCATAGTTTGTATTGGGGCAAGTTATTGATATATGTTAATTGTTCTAATTTCCGAAAACACGACTCCGGAAACCTTTCCTAAGTAATGTGTTGTGAAAGATAGTAAAGAAGGATATTCAGAAGCTTTATGAATACCAGCTGTCATTGACAAACCCGCAAAATTGAGTGTGATGTGACTGTGAATGAGGCTGTAAGTCCAAAGACTGCAGTGGCCTCTTAAGGTTTTTGCTCTCGAGCATAGGCCAACAAACCTTCACCACATAACTTATCAAGATGAAGCTAGTCTGGTTCATTTTTTTTATGGTAAATCATCATGGTAGGTTACAATATACATGCAGGTTTGTTATATATATACTGAAGTGCAAAATCCACTGAGACAATTGCAAATACTCAGCTCGTTACAGGTAAACCTTAGGTATGCAACTTTTAGCTTCCTAAGCTTTTACTTGCTATCTCCAAAAGAAAAGCTGGTTTTCTCTACCTCGATAAGGTCCTCATCTCAAAAATTATACTAAATATAAACCGATTGTTAAATGCAGTGGGAATAGATGAAGTAAAAAATTAAAAGTTCATCATTTGGCAAGAAAGCTATGGGTTCGTCATTAGAAAGCAAACTGACAGAATATACAAATATGTCTATTTGTCAATAAACCAGTAGTATAATACAGGCATCTACTACAGATTAAATAAAAATTCAATTGCGTATACTCCTACGACACATCAAGAAACATTCAATCCAAAGTAATTGTAACAATTTGATATTAGCTTGGCCCACAGAAGAGCCTAAGGACATATAGTCAAAAGGCAACATTTCCTAATCATTTGGTCATGCAGTCAAACTATTTTTCAGTTTAGTAAGTTCGTTCTTTGCTCAGAGGGAACACTGACATATTATGGTCATTTATTCCATATAATAAAGTAATATCAACCTTGTGAACTCAAGTTTGGGGTTTAACAGGTTTGTTAGCTGGGTTCTTGGAATCGCTAACTTGGCACGTTTTCTGTATTCTACATTATAAAATGAATTAATCGACACATCTGGGTATGTTGAGTGATGCCGCAAACTATGAGAATTCACCATTTACGTTTTAACATTGTCAACGTTGTCCACAAACGTTCCCTTGCATCATTTGTTTACTCGCGGCCTTGCGCGGAGTGGTTAAGTCACAGTGTAAACACCACTACAATGTGTTACAACATTTCCGGAAACTGCTTGCAACATTTTCAACAGCCATCAAACTCACTTTGTATGAAATAAGGCACAAGAAGTAAGGCGAACTTGACATCAGCTTTGACTCGGCGCCTGAGAGTTCTCCTCCTACTCCCGTTCACTCAGAACGCCAACTTTGACAGCAGACCAATCGCAATGCAGCAGGGACTGCTCTTAGCCAATCACACTATAGATGTCGTTCCCCTCAGCCAATCACGGCGCGGGAACTTGTTTTGAATGTACTTCTTCGAATTGACGCTCAAATGTCATACTTTTTGGGGAGTCAATTTCAGTAAAACTGATAGGTTTATTAGAATGAATACTTATATATGATGATTCGGTTTATTCTAGATTAAGCAGTTGTTTGATTTGGAGCCGGTTTCTTGTGGCGTGCGTGCAGAGGGGGACTACTTCGTGTCGCGGAATGAGCCGCGACACACAACCCCCCGTTTGAAATCCGCCGCGCGCAGTTTCCGCGGAACGATGAGCGCGTAGGGAGGGTGAAGAGGCGGTCCTGAATTTATCTTCATTTTTTTCTATTTCAGCAGGTTAGTATCCTCTGATAATGCACGAGACATTGAACATATGCGTTGAACCCTGTCCGAATTACTATATACAGTTGAAAAAAGTTATAACCGGATTTTTGTGAAGTTAGCTGTTGGCGGGTTTCGTCTTCTGTCATTTTGAACGTTAATGACTGTAATGTTCCGACCGATTCCAAAATAGTTCGTGCTTTGTGAATTAGGGTTATGTGGCAAATTGTAATTGTTGTAAGTAATTACAATTAATTATAGTTATATTGCGAACGGATTTCATCATTGAATCCTAAAAGAATGTCAGCTGCGTCAAAGATTACGTGCAGGTGATTGTTTATCATAATATGTGGCATCGCTACCCTGCAATTTGAAATGCCGCTCTGATATGAAAACTTGATTATTACTAAATTAACATAATTCCATGTGCGAACTTCAAGTCTGATAGTTATTATAACATCTATTGTTATCTTGAGAAGACTGAGGTCCCTTACAAGAGCGCTCGTGGTGCCCTTTCGAAAGAGTTAATCTCCTGAAAGGAAACCTTGTCTGGTGGAATGACCCCGGAGCCGCTATTGAAAACTGTTGCGTCAATTTCTGTCCTGTCGTGCCCGAAGTGAGCTCCCTTCGCCCTTGGGTTGAACAGCGAAGGAAACGTCATTCGCCTCACGAGGATGCTGACGACGTAATCTGGTTGGGGTTTACGCGCGCGCGTGTCTGTGTCTGTCTGTCTGTCCCTGTGTGTACGTGTGTTCGTATGTGTGTGCGCGAGACTTCCCGCCGCTGGAGCGAAGGTGCATTGGCATCGTGCGGTCCCGCGTGTACGAAACATGTGAATGTGCTCCATATAGTTTCTTTGTGCACCGCGTTTATTTTACTTTTCAATAACTAATTACTACTCCATGGTTGTGCGAGGCCCGCAGCGCAACGGGTCCATCTGTCGAAATCGGTCATTTCTGGTAAGTTGTAGGCGTTGAAGGCATGTGATGTTCGTACAAAAAGAGTGCTTGCCAAGTTGCAACACCGATGCCCGCTAAGAACTTGATGATGGTCGTCGGTCAAGCATTTGTGCTTGCATTTCGGAATTGAGTGATTGCTGAACTTCGCGTTCGTCTTCGCTGTAATCTTATCACGAGGCCAAAATCTGCTGTACTCACTCTCCAGTAATGCTGTATTTCTCACATTATACCTTTTGAAGAGTTGTCGGCTCCTAACTTTCACGTACTATGAGGATTACTTTACTTCGCATTTCAAAACTTACAGAAAATTAATTGGCTTGAAAATACAGTTATGGGATTCCAAGATGTGATTGAACCCTTCTAACCCTTGCTTATTGCAGGTGCTGGCCGAGGTTGGGAGCATCGCGCCATGAAAATTCTGGGTTATATTGTGGTCATCAAGAGGTCGGGTGCTGATGGGACGCCCTTCCCTCTGACCAATACCAGTTGTTCCATAGGACGCAACAATGAGTGTGACATTAGAGTTCAGCTGCCCAGTGTGTCCAGGCAGCACTGCCGGGTGGACGTAGAACCAAGTGGGAAGGTTAGTACCAGGTGCCTCTACAGTGTGTGGCCCATATCGCGCTGGTTTCTCTCTCTCTCTCTCTCTCTCTCTCTCTCTCTCT